TGGGTTGTGTGAAAGCTGCCCGAATGCTTTCATCTGACAGGTGATCCTTGCCCCCGTGTCAGAATGTCCGTAGCAGTCCCGCTAAAAGTCGCTGATCACCGTCATTACTAGTAGGAAAATTTTTTTACTGGACATGTTTAATATCAAAAAGTCTAAAATTATTATTTTTTTCTCAAAATTGTTGGTTTTTTTTGCTTATAGCGCAAAAAATGTAAAACGCGCACAGGCGATCAAATACCACCTAAAGAAAGCTCAATTCATGGGGAAAAAGTACGTAAATTTCATCTGGGTGCGCCGTTGCTTGACTGCGCAGTTGTCAGTTAAAGTAACGCAGCTCCATAACGTAAAAAATTGCCTGGTCAGGAAGGGGGGTAAATCCTCAGGAGGGCAAGTGGTTAATTTTGCCCATAGTTGCACATTACGTTTATATGTACTTCCATGGGTATCCTCTGAAGATGGGGTTACCCATAAATATGAGATAATTAGGATCCAGCTGTTTGTGTAGTGCAACTGAAATGAAAAGCGGGATCAGGTTTCCGTGGGCTGCATTTACAATCACAAGCTAGACACCCATAAGTCTGAACTTGGTAGTATTGCAGGTTTTTTGCAGATACCATGGATTCCATGCATTTTAGTAATACATTCTTGGAGACTTGTTTGACAGAATGATTCTCGTTTCCTGCTTACTGTTTAAAAAAAAAAAAAAAAAAAATCAGTTTAAGAACCTGAATTCACACATAATCAATAGTTGTGTTTTAAGCATCAGTTTAATGTCATTTGTTTTGGTGCATCTACAGTTAGTGATCAGTTGCATCGTATTCTGGTGCTTGTAAAGTGACCAGCTCTGTGCTCAGATGTGTTGTGTCAGCATTGAATGCAGAGTTGCAGGACCAGCCTCGCTGGGATTTTGGGAGGTTTAGAAGGATGAGAAGTATGGCTTTACTTTTTTTTTTGTAACATCAGCTATGTGCTTGTAGGGGACCCTCCATATTTTCAAAAATACCTGAGTGCTACAGCTATTGAATTTTGGAACGGAAGTGTTGTAAACCAAATGAATCTATGAAGTAGCTTTCAAAGTGTATTTCAGGACCATACATTTAGTATTGAGTAGAGTACGGAAATGTCAAACACTTCAAAGTATGTTCTGAAAGGCACAGTGAGTCCTTTGGAAAATATTACATTTTGCCACAAGTTTTTGGGAAATGTGGAGAAATTTTTTTTTTTTTTCTTTTTCACAAAGTTCTCAAGTTTATTAAGGCATTATCACACACAGCATGGGCATACTTAGAATTTTACCCCAAAATGCATTCTGCTACTCCTCCCAAGTATTGGAATATCACATGTTTGAGCCTTTTTGCATGTTTGGACTGGTCATATACCAGACATTGTATCTAGGGATGCACCAAAATTTCGGTGGCTGAAACATTTCAGCTGAAAACATCGCTATTGGCCTTTGGCCAATATGAAAATAAGCACCGATACAGATGCCCAAAATAACCCCGCCTCTGCCGCCACCCACCACTGCTCACTGGTTCTCAGCCTTACCTGAGAAACTATCGAACGATCCCAGCCCTGGGCATAGAGATCAGCGAAGGAAAGATGGCCTCCACTCATCTCTATGCCCTCGGAGGATCGGAGCGATGTCACTTGCTGCTCCGGCGCCTTGTTTTTTTTTTTTTTTTTTTTTTGTTCTAATGCTTTACATTGTAGAGGACAGATGTAAAGTCTTATTGACCCCATAGCTCTTCATAAAGAGGACCTGTCACTACTTATTTCTATCAAAGAGATGACTGCATTCCTTGTGATCAGAATAAAAGTGATTTTTTTTTTTTTTTTTTTTTAAAGGGACAGTGTAATAATAAAAAAAAAAGTTTAAAGTGCATAGTGTGAATGCATACACAAGTGAATGTAAAACATAAAAATGCTGCGCTACATTCAAAACAATTATGTGAATGTGGGATCCAACATCTCAAATCAAAAATGTGACAATAATGATAACAATATAAATCTATACGTGCTTACTGATAATCAAAATATCAAAAAATCACCCAAAAGATGAGAAAAACAAAACTGTATATATACGTATGTGCATGAACACACATACATATAATTAAATCACACGTGCATATTGTGAAGTGAAAAAATAACCATAATAATGATACACAAGTGAGGTATCGCCACGAACATAAGAGCAATAATTTTAGCACCAGACCTCCTGTAACTTTATACTGGTAACCTGTAGAAATTTTTAAAGCGTCACCCATGGAGATTAAGTACCGTAGTTTGACGCCATTCCACAAGCATGCACAGAAATACTGCTACAGGACAGCACAGGTGCACAAAATCACGTGTGTGTATGTATGTGTATGTATATATATATATGTATATATATATATATATATATATATGTGTGTGTGTGTATACACACACACACACACACACACGCGCGTTTTTGCATTTCCGGTTATGGGGAACCAGAACAGTGCAGTGTTGCTTTGGTGACGTACTGTTATGGGATTTGTTTGCAGCACAAGCTGTCTCTGATTATAAGATGCAGAAGTACAATGTCACCATAGGCCGTACGGGTAGGTCTTTCTGAGTCCAGGAAGCTCCTGCCCAGCCAATTTATATGCAGTGGCTGAGCAGGAGGTGGTTAAAACGGACCCTCCCTTCCCCATTTATTAAATCTGACCACCTCATATTACTAGATATTTGTGGAATAGAACAAACTGAGTTTCAGCTAATTTTTGGAGGCCTGGTGAGAACAGAGCTAATTCTACAATACTGAGCGTATATCGTGGATAAAAAGAAAAAATCAAATGTAATAATCTGTTATTGACACATGTCCATCTAACCTTATTGAGAGTGCATTCCCTATTAGATGTTTGTATATACTGCATTGTAACTATTGGTATTAAACCCAAAAGATAACATTTGTTATATTGCAGCTTACCAATTCCTGGTTGTGATGGCTGTGTTTTTTTTTTTTTTTTTTTAAGCTTTCGGTTATTTTCATTTGGTGATCTTGCCAGTAAGCAGCAGTTACAGGGATGAGACAAACCATTGACAGTGGTGCTTACAATGATCAGCTTTTATTTGTGTAAAACCTTTATCCCAAAAGAAAAAAATGCTGCTGTAACTGCTTATGTAGTTTGACTTCAGTGTTAGTGTATCCAAATCTGCTAGTGCATCTAAATATGGCCGTAGATGGAGAGCATTTTTAACGAAAATTGTTAGAAAAGGTCTTGGGAAAATGTGTAAAAACTTTCTCAAAACCTTCACAATGTCTTTTACAGGGATGTTAAATGAATTATGTCATCCAGGCTCCACTTGCCCATCTGCGGACCCGGGACCAGTTCAGAGGGTGCCGGCTGTTATAGGGGAGGGAGGAGAGCAGACACATCTGACTTCCGGGTCACCATCGACACCATCGAGGGTGGGAATAAATGTAATGCAGCGTGGTGCTGGAGACAGGCAAGGAGGTGATAAGGAGATAAACAGTGCAATGTTAAAAATATTAAAGTTTTAACCACTTGCCCTCCAGAGGATATACCCCCCCTTCCTGACCAGGCCATTTTGCTGTGTTACTTTAACGGACAATTGCGCGATCATGCAACGCCGCACCCAAATTAAATTTGTCCCTTTTTTTTTTTTCCCTCACAAATGGAGCTTTCTTTTGGTGATATTTGATCGCCTGAGCATTTATTTTTTGCGCTATAAACATATAGATATTGGAATTTATTATTTATTTTATACTAGTAATGGCAGCGATTTACAGCTGGACTGCCACTGAGATCCCCAGCGACACTAATGCAGCGATTATTACTGACACTACTGATGGCACTGGGCACGAAGGGGTTAACATCTGGGGCAATCAAAGGGTTAACTGCTGTTTTACAAACTGTGCTGTGTTTTACTGTGTAAGCGTGCTGCTTTGTATTGCTCTGCTATGCAGAGCAATACAAAGCAGCATGCTGGTGCTGACAGGGGAGAGATCTGTATTGTTTACATATAGACCTCTCCTCATCAGTGTTTCTCTGCAGGTATGGTGGGGAATCTCCGGCTGGGACCTGGTGATCAACCGCTGTAGCCGCCAATGGCGGCGCGCGCCCCCCCCACCCGGAAATATAAAATCACGTGTATATATACGTGATTTTGCGCAGCCCTTCTGCCCTTTTAGAAGTAGTTCTGCTATAGGGTGGTCAGAAAGCGGTTAAGTTGCCATAAAGCCCCTTTTTGTTTTTAAAAGCTCCAGACATTCATTAAAGCACCTCAGATTTAAATATATTTTTGGTTCAAATGTTTTTATTTTTTTATCAGGACAAGTAGATTGTCATGAGTAACAAGTAGTATGGGGAACACTTTTTAGTAGTTTTTTCAAAGATTTCCAAACCTCTGTTTAGAAAGATTTCATTTACTTTTAACATTTGGTTTTGCTATGAAAACCATACTCTGTTAGAAATTTGTTCTGGTATTTTTCATCCTGCTCCTTTGAATTTTCTTGTCTCTGTGGTTAAAAACAAACATTGATTTGACCCACTGATGAGTGCAAAAAAAAAAAAAAAACTTTTCTTTGAACATTCTTTTCCTTGGAATGTTCATTCAAAATTCTACCCATCTATGGCTGCTCCCCCCAGACTCGCAATGCAGCTGTCCATCTTTTGTGCTCCTTCATCCAGAGTGGGGTCACTCTAATACAGAAGGGGATGTTACTGGTTGGATTACTTGAAAACCAAGGGAAAAAGCCTAAAGAAAATTGATGCAGCCACAACATTTAATGACTGGTAAGCTGTAATATTTGGTATATACTTTTTGGTTTCTTTCCTATGTTTTCCTGGCAGCACAGTTGTATATTATTTTGGATAAACCGTTGGCATAGATAGTGCTCTCAGAAAAAGACAAATAGTGAATAGTTTGATTCCACTGCCTAATTATTCCCTGACATTTTATTTTTACCTGGTTTTAACTTTTATTTTTTTTTTTAATAAATTATTTTCTAGGGACCAGCTTTTCTCCACAAGAAAATTCCCATAACCACAGTGCTCTTCATAGCTCAAATTCACATTCTTCTACTCCAAGCAAGACATCTGATTCTGTAAGTGGCATTTTCAGTATGCAATGTAAATTGTAAATGATTAGCAGAAAGTGTTGTTTTACAGTGTAGTATATATGTATAGCCAGATTTCTAATTTATGTTGTAAATAAAATAAGGAATGAGTGAAAACCGTGTGTGTGTTTTGTGCTTTTTGTCATTTTGGAATGCTGTGTTTTCGCATCCTGTCCCAGAGAAGCAACATGAGGGTATCTTTTCCACATGAGTAAAACCCTCTTTTTAGACAGTAGTTGCTGGAACAATTGTCCCTTTTTTGGAAGACTTTTTCTTTGTTTTACAGAGCACCACAACTATACCGGATAAAATAAAAAAGAAAAACATTTTGGCTTTAGATATTTTAAAGCTGACCAAGCCTCTGCCAACTTTAGGTTTTCAGTTGTGTAAGGTGAGCGAATTTTGAATGATATAGCACTTGCAGAAGAAATGTTCCTACTCTATTGCCTAGGCAAACAGGCAGCACTTCTGTTCCTAGACTCTGCCTTCTGTTGTTTATAGAAAGGAGTAATGCCTAGTACACACAATGAGAGAGTCAGCCAAAAGTAACTGCTTTCGGAGCAATTGTTCGATTATCTAATCATTAGTACAGAGCTTCCGACATCTGATCAGGACAGTTCAGGCAAATGTTTCTGGAGGAACGAGTGAAAATCCTTCTCGTTTGATAACAGAACAACCGATTTTCGTGTGATGAGAGTATTTGTATGAAAATATTCGAGGGACCATGACTGCACATGATCGGAAACGAAAAAAATTAACTCAAAGAAAGAGGCAATGAGAACAAATATCGTGTAATATGAAAAATGTTCTGAAATAGGATAAATTGCAATTTGACGTTTTATAACCCTTTTTGGATCGTGGCTAGGCGTGGCTAGGAGAGGGGTGACACTTAAATTACATCACTTCTGATTACACGCTAGATCGTAGTTACATACTGGGAAGTTGTATTCTGTTGTAAAAAAATGTTTTTGTATCTTTTAATAACCTCTTTGTTTTCAGACTAGCAAGCAAAAATAGGACAATCTTTGCACCTTTTTTTTTCTCTGTTATAAGCTTAGGATTGGTCAGTTAAAGCCAGCTCAGTGCTGAGATCCCACACATTGGCTGCAGTGTCATGTACAGTGTCTCACAGAAGTGAGTACACCCCTCACATTTTTGTAAATATTTTATTCCTTTTCATGTGACAACACTGATGAAATGACACTTTGCTACAATGTGACGTAGTGAGTGTACAGCTTGTATAACAGTGTAAATTTGCTGTCCCCACAAAATAACTCAACACTCAGCCATTAATGTCTAAACCGCTGGCAACAAAAGTGAGTACACCCCTAAGTAAAAATGTCCAAATTGGGCCCAATTAGCCATTTTCCCTCTCCGGTGTCATGTGACTCGGTGTTACAAGGTCTCAGGTGTAAATGGGGAGCAGGTGTTAAATTAGGTGTTGTCGCTCTCACTCTCTCATACTGGTCACTGGAAGTTCAACATGGCACCTCATGGCAAAGAACTCTGAGGATCTGAAAAAAAGAATTGTTGCTCTACATAAAGATGGCCTAGACTATAAGAAGATTGCCAAGACCCTGAAACTGAGCTGGAGCATGGTTGCCAGGACCATACAGCGGTTTAACAGGACAGGTTCCACTCAGAACAGGACTCACCATGGTTGACCAAAGAAGTTGAGTGCACGTGCTCAGCATCATATACAGAGGTTGTGCTTGGTAAATAGATGTATGAGTGCTGCCAGCATTGCCGCAGAGGTTGTAAGGGTGGGGGGTCAGCCTGTCAATGCTCAGACCATACGCTGCACACTGCATCAAATTGGTCTGCATGTCTGTCGTCCAAGAAGGAAGCCTCTTCTAAAGATGATGCACAAGAAAGCCCGCAAACAGTTTGCTGAAGACAAGCATACGAAGGACATGGTTTACTGGAACCATGTCCTGTGGTCTGATGAGACCTAGATAAACCTATTTGGTTCAGATGGTGTCAGGTGTGTGTGACGGCAACCAGGTGAGGAGTACAAAGACAAGCGAGTCTTGCCTACAGTCCAGCATGGTGGTGGGAGTGTCATGGTCTGGGGCTGCATGAGTGCTGCCGGCACTGGGGAGCTACAGTTCATTGAGGGAACCATGAATGCCAATATGTACTGTGACATACTGAAGCAGAGCATGATCCCCCTCCCTTCGGAGACTGGGCCGCAGGGCAGTATTCCAACATAACGACCCCAAACACACCTCCAAGTCCACCACTGCCTTGCTAAAGAAGCTGAGGGTAAAGGTGATGGACTGGCCAAGGATGTCTGCAGACCTAAACCCTATTGAACATCTGTGGGGCATCCTCAAACAGAAGGTGGAAGAGCGCAAGGTCTCCAACATCCACCAGCTCCGTGATGTTGTCATGGAGGAGTGGAAGAGGACTCCAGTGGCAACCTGTGAAGCTCTGGTGAACTCCATACCCAAGAGGGTTAAGGCAGTGCTGGAAAATAATGGTGGCCACACAAAATATTGACATTTTGGGCCCAATTTGGACATTGTCACTTAGGGGTGTACTCACTTTTGCTGCCAGCGGTTTAGGCATTAATGGCTGTGTGTTGAGTTATTTTGAGGGAACAGAAAATTTACACTGTTATACAAGCTGTACACTCACTACGTCACATTGTAGCAAAGTGTCATTTCTTCAGTGTTGTCACATGAAAAGAGAGAATAAAATATTTACAAAACTGTGAGGGGTGGACTCACTTCTGTGAGATACTGTAGGTAGCTGTGTCTTGAGGGGATGAATTTTATTGAAAATATCAAGATAAACCAGTACCCACTGGAGTCACTAATTGCTTACCCATACATGACAATATTGTTGACAATTGAAACATGGTGTTTTTTTTGTTTTTTTTATGTTAAGCTGTGCATTGTCACAGAACTGTTTATCCTTATGGATGGATCAGTAGATAATATTAACCCCTTTGTGCCTAAGGGTACAACAAATGTTAATGCCTAAACACAATTTTGCAACTTTGAGATGTGTTAGTAGAACCATACATATAACTACTTTGTGCAATATATAAAGGGAGACAATACAGCAACAATACAGTTCAATACAAGAGGGATAGGAGGGCCCTGCTCCTTGGAGCTCACTATGATAGCCAATCAGAGGTTATCACAGTGATCAGGTGATCCTGAATCGTTATTTCTGGCTCCCGATAGTTTGTGTGATACCCTGGTCTCTCAGGCACGCTCCCAGCACAAAGCCTAGTCCAGTGGGACCGCATATTGGCATACGCTTGGTAGGAAGGGGTTAAGATGTTCAACTTTTATTCACCTTTATGCTAAGCACGTGCTGTTATTTTCAGTGAGTGTAGGTCAGCATCATAACTAATCTTGCACAGTCAGTGTTGGTCTATATTTTTGTACTTGCTTCTGTGACCCTATGCTCTGTGATTTATTTTCACCAAGCAAAAAATTCTGGATCTCTGAAAAAATGTGCTAGATAAATTGCTGGGTGCTCCTTGATGCACAGAGATGGAAAAGTGTGCTGAAATGATTTGGCTTGGTATGAGCAAGAGCTTAGTACAATGACCTTAGTTCTCTTTGGTGGCTCCTCCAGGCAGGCTCCTCGCTTATTTTGTGGTACAGCAAACTCTAAAAGCTGTAAAACAGAAGTGTGGTGTGGTTTGCACAGGCTCTTGCTGTCAAAGATAAAGGATGAAATTTGAAGTGTGTGTGTGTATGTGTGTATATGTATGTGTGTGTATATATATATATATATATATATATATATATATATATATATATATATATTAGTACCTAATTGTGGATAATTGAGTTTTGCTTACCTTTTTATTCTTTGCAGGCTTATGATCCAGCAGATGACTGGTCTGAGCATATCAGTTCCTCGGGCAAAAAATACTATTATAACTGCAGAACAGAAGTGTCCCAATGGGAGAAACCGAAAGAGTGGCTGGAAAGGTCTGCATTTATCAGATAATCTATACATTGCTATTGCATCTGTTGTATCCTGTTTCATGTCTGTCTGCTACTGCTTAAAGGATAAGTTCACTTTTTATGAAAAAATAATAAATGCAGATATTTTTATAGAAAAAAGTACAAATGTCAGGCTTCTGCAGACTTGTCATCCAGCTTTGTGCCCGGACCTCTGTATGGGCTTTCTGTGAGAGCTGGAGGAATTTTTTTATGGACTATGAGGCGCTTATCAGTCCATTAAGAACAAGAAGTCTGGTGGAAGATGGGACTTTATTTATTCACACATCTCTATGAGTGAATGATGTGGCTGTCACAGGGAAGGGAGAACTCTGGGGTTTAGGAGGGGTGGTGCTGGAACATGTTACACCATATTCAGGATGTAGCATGTAACATGTTCCAAAGGTGAACTTGGCCTTTACTGATTCTTATAAAAAAATTTTTACAGTATACAGTAGTAGGCCTGTTCATTATGCTGCTGCACAACTGAAAACTACTCTTTATTGCTGGCTTTCGGAACCGTAAAAGTAGCTGCCAAGCTGTACAAGTTTTAGTGACCAGCAGCAAATGTCTGTGATCTAGTAGTGCTGCAGCCATATGTATGACATTCACTTCTACTTGTTCCAAAACTTGTTTTAAGTTTAACGCCAGTGGGAATTGTTAATTCCTTGATGCCTCATCACTTTGCCCTAAGAGAATCTCTCTTCCATGAAAACCTCAGCTGTATTTTTAAAAAAGTGTTTCTTGATAGTGGTCTTCCACAGGACTCTATAAGGCGTATTATTCATGAGATTAGCACTCTCTGCAGCCTAGTAAGTGCTCTGCCCTCCATATGTGCAGCAAAGAACCCCCGGTACATTCTCATGTAACCCCACTGATAACTACTGCAACTGACATCTATATCAAGATTTAACTGCTTATTGACTCAGCGCTCACTATCAGTTTCCAGGTTGATTACCATCAACGTAAATCTTGGGAATCATACCCAGAACCCAGCAGGAGTGTGCAATGTTTGCTTTGCGCACTGGACTTGTATTCGGTGCTCATCTTGGCATATGGTGGAACAAGTGTAGTTGGCCGCATTCTTATGTCACCCTTGGTGTGTGTGCCAAACGTGATGGGTTCAGTTTAGTTCGTTCTTGAGGACCTGCAACATGGACCAGGGTATTTATGAGCATGTCTTATTTTTCCAAGTGGAGCGCTTTTTTACTCAGCGTGTTATTCCCCTCTTTAAAAGCATCTACTAGGTGGAACGCAGGTAGAATTAAAAACTATTCAAATTTGACAGGATTCCCACTCAGCATTGCTGCTTGGGTGTTAAGGTACTCTCAATACACTTTCTGGCTGATGCACTTCCACCTGCCATATTCACAGAGAAGGCAAGGAGAGAAAATTGGCTGATGTCCCCGACTGCCTATATTCCAGCAACAGGACATTGGTCAGCATCTGGGCCAGGCCCTCTGTTCCGTTTTGATTTGCAGTTGGCATGGCTGTTGAAACCCGGGTCTTACAAGATAGGGGCAGTTTCTGACTTTGTCATTCCCACCTTCAGGTGATAAAAACTGCTCATAGGATCTACCATGACACCTGTAAGGCATGCTTTTGGCTGGTGCGCAGCCAGGCAGCTCAACCTCCAGAACATTCTTACCTTCACCTAGCCACCTTCCAATCTGGCTTGGTCCAGCATCTGGCTCTTAGTACTCCTAAAGGCACAGGTTTCTGACTTTATTCATTCTATTCCAGAAATGTCTGGCTTCAAAATCTCTTGTCAAGACCTTTGTACAAGGAGTTCATGTCAGTCCCCTACTTCACACTGTCTCTCTGGGATCTGAATCTGGTGCTTTTGGTTCGTGGACCTCCCTTTTGATCCGATTTGGGATATCCCTTTGGGGGTTCTCACCAGTAAGGTGGCATTTTTTGGTGGTCATTACCTCTGTGGGACATGTCTCTTGAATTGACAGCCTTTTCTTATCTTGCATAGAGACAAGATGCTCCAGAGACCCAGACCCGCCTCTTTCATTTGTCTGGCCCCAAAGCACTCCAAGGAGATTTTACTCCAACTCCTGGATGTGTTCAGATCAGCATCTACCTAGATGCAACATCCTCTTTCAGAAACACCTAGTCCTTGTCTTTCCTGAAGGTCCCCAGATGGAACATCCTCCTTCCTCCTCCTCCATTGCCAAGTGGCTCATGCTGCACATTTCCAGAGCTTATGCATCAAGAGGATTGTTCCTCCCCTTCCTATCAGGGCCTTGTTCCACCAAATCTGTCTTTTTCTTTAGTTTTCAGCATGAAGCATATGTTTTACAAGTTGGAGAAGATGAGAGCAGAGGACCAGGTGGCGGTCTTGCAAAGTATGATTTTCAGACCTTTATTGATGTGAGCTTTGGTCACAGGGTGCCTCAAGCTGTCACCCAAATGCTTAGAGTCTGTTGGCCCTTGTTGTTTTTAATGTCCTCCACTGTTTGATTAAGATCATCAGAATTTTAACTTGCTTGTAAATTCTATATCTTGGAGTACAGTGCAGTGCACTAGTCCCTCTCCTCTGTTCATATTGCTTGCTAGAAAACTGGAGTTCCACATCCTAGTGAGTGGGGTTATGAGGGTGCACTACACCAATCACAGCAAAGCTTTTGCCAGTGTCCAGTCACTTTACGGTAGCAGCATACAACTATGCTTTGCCTACAATTTCTGTGCTGTATTTTCATATGAAATTTACAGTTAAGTAAAAAATTCCCACTTTTTTTTTTCAATCAAGTTCAGAAAAAAAAACCTCACCTAGATGGATGCAGTATCTATCAGTCCGATGCTGCATCTGTCTCCCGCCACCTCAAAGATGAAGAACTGAGTGGTCAAAGACTGCTAGTTCTTGGTCTTCTTTGAGCAGAATGTGGTAACTGTCGGCCACTGGGGTTTTCTGCTCTGCCTCCCCCAGGGTCCACTGGAGCACCGGGCAGTGGAGGGGGTAGGAGTGGCTGGCTCAGTCTCTCAGTGGTGTGCTGGTCAGAAATCTAGGTGGATACCGACTTTTTAAAGTGGGTCACAGGAGTGCGTAACACGGTGCACTCCTGTGAGCCTCAGGAGAAGTAAGGCCAAAAACCCATGATTTAAAGTGTATATAAACCCACAAAAATCTTTTAATATATTGCAGTTTACTTTTGCTTAGCTGAGGTCGCTGTATTTAGGATTTTTTTTTTGTTTGTTTTTTTCTTTCTTTCGTTCTTTCTTCCTTTTTTAGAATGGTTACACTCCACTTTTGTTTTAAGAAAACTAATAAAAGCTTACCATTGGAATCACTCCTGTCAGTGTTAAGTGCTTTGTCTCAAACCTCCTGCCACTTGTGCTGAACAGCTTAGTCTGCTAAAGGAAGTTGACAGACTTACTGGCAGGATCAACACCTCATCAAAGGGTTGGTTAGCTGCAGTGTATTAGTTTTGTGTGTTAGATATTGCTATTTTTAAGTCATACTTACCTAGGTTGATGCAGCATCGGACCCCACCTGCTTTAATTGTCAGAACACGGCGATCTCATGATCGCTGAGTTCTCTCAGCTGCTCTGAGCTGAGTAGTGATCGTCGGTCACTGCTGTTTACTCTGCCCCCCTCCCCCCACACGCACTGGGCTGTGAAGGGAGGGAGCGAGCAGCTGGCTCGGGCTCTTAGGCTAAGCCAAGTGCTGCTCCAGACTTTGGGGTGGATCCCGACTTTAGAGTCAGGATCTTTCCCCAGCCTGGACCGGCTGAGTGATGTCAGCCCACAGCGTGTTTCAACGCACTCAACAGGGTTAGAGGAGTGCAGAACGAACTGCACTCCTGTGAACCACAGGAGAAATACAGCCAAAGAGCTTTGGCTGTACTTCTTTAAGGCCCCTTTCAGATGGGGTGGTCAAGTCAGCGGATCCGCTTGATCAGCCGGGATCTCTCTGCTGATTTCCACTGAGCAAGCAGATGACAGGTCTGTGTCTGCTCTGCTGATGCAGGCACAGCCTGTTGTTTTCTATGGGGCAGGTGGATGGAGATGACTTGCCTCTCTGTTTCCACCCGACTGTCATCCAATCTGCTGGATGGATGGGGAAAGGATCGCCATCCATCTGTTTTCAGTGTACAGGATCGGAATGGGTGTCATTGGACACAGAAAGCTATGGATGGTCTGATCTGGCCTGCCTGAAGAAACAAGTGTACCTGATCGGACCGTCAGTGTGAAAGGGGCCTAACCGTTTCCTCAAAATTGTAAGCATGCCTCTGCTGATGAAGCTGCTGAATTTAATATCTGAATGATATTAAACGTTATGTGCAACTTATAGCACTACCTATAATTAAATATGCAAAAAAAAAATTCATACATACCAAATATGTGCAAATATGTACATTAAATCAATGCATCAATAAATATATAAAAACTTTATAACAGAAAATACTGTGCAAATCAATAGAGGTGCATCAGTACATCTCTAGTCCATCCAGCAAACCAGTGAGAATCCTAGGAACCAAGGATTTCCTGTACTTTTGATCAGTTTTACTCTTTGTTTGCCCATTTTTAGTGGCGAGTCAAATCTGGTGAGTGAGTTCTGCTACTGGTGTGTTTTTTTTTTTGAAGGTTGTGAAGCGCAGGCACTTCACCACATTGAAAAGTTGCTATTACGTTTTTCACATTATTGAAGATGTTTGTTTAAACACTGTATGGTTTAGTGGACTTAAAGATATTTTATTAAATACAATTGAATTGATTTTGCACTGCTTTCCAATGTGCTTTTACTTGCAACTCATCTGAACTTTCAACCTCTCGCATAATTCATGTAATAGCTGATCATGTGCCTATCTCCAGGTCTAAATGGAGGTTAGGATGGCACCATCCACAGCTGATAGCATGATTTAGTTCTGTTTTCGGTATTCCCATCATCACTTTAAAGCTAAAACTAGTTTTAGTAGCAAAGATGGCAAGCAGGTTCCAAGAAATGTTTGAAGATAGTCTGACACCTGAATAAGTTGAAACTCAGGATTCCTTTATGCAAACATAACCAGTACTTAAAGGAGAATTCCAGGCAAAAAGTTATTTTGCCTGTGCAGTGGGGCTGCACCCACACTGCGCGGGTTAACTGCTCATAGGGAGAGAACAGCGGACATATACTCACTTGACCCACTGATCTTTCCTGCAAAAGACTGGTCCTTTCGGCTCCTGCCCCATTGCATGGTAAAAAAACTTAACCTGGAGTTCTGCTTTAAACTTAGAGCTGTGGTCTGTCCCTCCCGGCACTACTGGTCTTTTATTTTAGTAGACCATGTTCCTAAGCAATATTGAGGGAGTGGAAGGGTCAGCGTTCGGGCTTCAGAAACTGCGGTAGGCATTTTGTATAAGAAAGCATTGGGGTTTTGGGGTGTTCTGTATGTGCAGCACTTGTAGTTGATGGCTATCCATGTATGTAGCAGGTATATTGGTTTTAAGGTAATGACAGCTTTGCTATTATAATTTTGGAACAAATAAAAGCTTATTTCCTCCAATGTCCTGTGAGTTCCTCTTGCAGGGACATTTAAATCTTGGTTTGTGTTGTCTTTACTGTCCTAATGAAGTATTATTCCTAGTGCTGAATACATGTAACTCATTCCACGCTTACCCCTTACTTTCACAGGGAACAGCGCCAGAAGGAGTCTAGTAAAGTGGCAGTTAATAGTTTCCCCAAAGACCGAGACTACAGAAGAGAAGCAATGCAAGCCACAGCTACGGGTGACTTTTAAGCTCTATTTGTTTTTAAATTTTGTTTGCAGCAGTTGAGCTTTGTGCTTGAGAGGTTATTCATCATTTTTTAACAACATATTAGTGATCTGTTTAATGTGAGACATGCTGCCCCAAGGTTTGTTGCTTGGATAATGTTTTTTTCTGTTTTACATGATTGTGTCTTGACAAAGCACTTGAGAGCTACTGCATGTGCTATATATTAAAGAAAACATTCAAGCTTGCAGCTAAAATCACCATTTGTTAGAACTGTGTTGCTCATAAATTTGCTATGGTTATGTGAATGTCTGACCTTTGTCCCTGCCACATTCTTGACACCAGGTTTGCAAATCTTTATGCTAGATTTATCTTGTAACATTTTTTACTTACAAAACCTATAGGGGTGAAACAAATTGAACGTTTGCTCTAACGCTGCCTTTGCAGCAACCCTCCATAAAGCGGAACTTTACACATAACTTGATAAAAAAAAAAAAAAAGTTGTTCAGCAAGGAACATACATTGCACATTAATACTAAATATATTAATTTTAATAATTATGCTACCAAAATCAGTGTGCGCTGTACATTGTCTTCAGCATTGCTCCTGATTCTTCTTCCTGAAGGCTGCCATTTTGCTGAAGACCAGAGCCCCTGAACAGCAGTGAATCATAAAGTGGAACGAAACCCATCGATTCAATGGTTTCATAAAGGGTTACTTTCCTGGAATGCTGGGTGATTGCTGTCAAATTTGCTTATGTTCTCAACCGAACTGTCAAATCATCAAATGGCTGATCACATGTGCAGCACCATGGCAGTTGCAGATCAAACAAGCAGTTTCCTTGGCTGTTAAGGATAGGAGGGTTTAATTCCACTTTAAGGCTGTCAGCAGATCGTCCTCTACAAATTCAGCAGTGCCTAAAAATATAAAGCAACTGAGCATGATGTGCAGAGCAGGGTGACACAGTGTATTGCTAGATTTTAAACAGGTATAGACACTACTTTTTTTATATTTTAATAATTTTTACATAGCTATACCTGCAAAAGGGGCCAGCCTGGAGTGATCTAGCAGGGCCTGATTTTCTGATTAAAGTTTGACTTTAAATTGTTATGCAAGTTTCCACTTCTGGAATTTTAAACTTTCCTGTCTTAAAGTGGAACTTTAGTCAGAAAATTAAATTTTGCTAGGTTACTTCAGGCTGGTCCCTTTTTGCTGTTATAGCTATATAAAACATTAAAAATAAGTCCCTATACTGTTTAAAATCCAGTAATGCATTGTCTCACCCTGCTCTGCACAAGCTCAGTTGCAATCCATTTTTAGGCACTGTGCTGAAGTTGTAGAGGCCGATCTGCTGATAGTCTAAAGCGGAACTAAACAGATTGATTTAACAGTTTCAAAAACGGTTACATTCCTGTAATGCCAGGCATGTAACTGTCACATTTGCTTGTGTTCTCAACCAAACTGTCAAACCATCAAATGACTGGTGTTATAACTGATCACATATGCAGCACCATGGCAGTTGCAGATCAAGTGGATGGCAGCTTCCTTGGCTGAAAAGAATAGGAGGGTTTTTAGTTCTGCTTTAACTGCTGCTCAGGGCTTCACCAAACTGGCAGCCTCCAGTAAGAAGAAACCGAAACAACGTTGGAGGCAATTTACAGCACACACTAATTTTGGTAGCATAATTATTAACTCTAGGTTCACATCTGTGCCGGTGGTGCCGCTGCGGATCCACATGAAAATCCATGCAGCCGCACTACCCGCACAGAGAACTGCGGACCCGTGGGTGGGTGCCATTATTTCTAATGGCACGCCACCCGCACTGGAAAGCGCAGCCGTACTGGGAACCCAAGTTCCCATGCAGGCTGCGTTTTTCCAAAGAAATGCAGGGACTTCTTCCCTGCGTGTCAGGGGCATGGGAGTCCATTCAAATGAATGGGCTCTCATGCCTGTGCAAAACGTGGCCTGCACGGCCGCATATATATGAACCGGGGGTAATGTGGAATGTGTGTTCCTTGCTGAAAGACCTTTATTTTTGTTATGTATAAAGTTCCACTTTATTTAAGCTTGCAACTGACAGCAGTCCTATGTGGCAATCGGCCACACCAGTTGTGGGTACTGTATTGTGGGAGCCAGAGATGGCTTTAAGGGTTCGTTCACACCATACGTGTGTGAAAACTGACACGCAGATTTCACTTTCAGAGACATCCGTTTACATGCGAGCCCCAATGAGTTTTATACACGTTGCAGATTCCTGCACAGAAAAAATCTGCAGGTGATACTAGTGTGGTGGTGTGAGCAGGGCACATAGAGAACAATTGATTTTGTTGTGCCCTTGCAGGATGCTTGCAGAAGAACTGCCTTCTCTCTCTGCACCATGGTGTGAACAAGCCCTAAATGTCTGTTTCTTTGGAAGCACCAGGTATATTCATGGGCAGGGGAGGAATGAGGTAAAGGTTACAGTTGGCAATATTCACTTATTCATATAGGCAAGTCTTACCCCAAGAGACCATTGGACGTATGGTTTAACTACAGGAATGAGTAGGTGTTGGGTGTGTGCAGTATGAAGAGTCAACCTCGTTGGAGGAAAGATTGTTGGATTGGGAAGGACATGTCTGTTGGCACAGTGCCTCATCTGACTAGTGCAGAAAGGGAGAAAGAAAGCTGCAATTTAATTTACAGTACAGTTATAGCATTTTAATATACTTCATTGCTTCTCTTGCTTTGTAGTTATAGTTTTAAATGTAATTGAGTTCATTTTAAAGTGCTTTAGGTTTTTCAAAGTCTTCAATCTGAAATTATTTGGTCATTGTTACACGCATGCAACTTTTGCTAATCCCTCCATTTAATTTATTGTATGTTCTCAAATTTGAACTGTTATACCTAAAAGTACATAGACACATTTTTTTTTCAGTTTTGGATGGAGTGGGAAAGTGCTGTCAAGTTTGTATTGTGGTTTGTGTCCCTGTTGTGTCCTCTCTGTTGGTCCTGAAGGTAGTTGCCACAAGGCTAAAAAATGAGGGAATATGCAAAATTGGTGATTGTTGGACTGTGAAGGCTGGCAGGTTGAGTCACCCACTGGCTTCTTGTTGGTCAGGAATTCCAGTGGTGAGATTGTGCCTCCAGTGTTCAAGAACTGTCCTAGGTGTTTGGCCTTTTCTAAAGTAATGTTTACTTGTCTGCATACTTTGTAATGTATGATAAAATAACTAGGAATTCTGGCAGTGTGAAAAACTGTACTAGCTTTATTAGACAGGTATGGGTCATCTGAGATCTCTGCATTAGATGCATGTTATGGCCGAAAGTTTGATCAGCACATATGAGCTTGGTGAACATCACATTCCAAAACCTTGGGAATTAATATGGAGTTGGGTTTTGATCTTCTGGAAAGGCTTTCGACAAGTTTTATTGTGTGTCTGTGGGAATTTGTGCCTATGAGCCAAAAAGCATTTGTGACCTCAAATGTTGGACAAGAAGACCTAGCTTGCAAACAGGCTTTTCAATTATCTCAAAGGTGTTTAGGAAGGTCTTGGCACTGTACATGAGTTTCTCCTAACCCAACATGTCAGACCACGTGTTTCTGGAGCTGACTTCTTGTACAGGGGCTCAGGCATGCTGGAACAGAAAAGGGCCTTCCTTCACTGTTGTCATAAGGTCAGAAGGCTTTTAAACATTTGTGAGTTATGACATTATCAGTACCCTATGCTGGAAACCCCTGAACTCAATAATGGAGTGATCGCATATCGCTGTATATCAGAAGCCTGGCACTGAATCCATCCACTGTCCCCTTCTACATAAACACTGTTGGTGTTCTTACCTTTCATAACTTTTTTGTAGTAGGACTAGCTTGTAAGTCAACAGCATTGTATATTTTCCAGGGAATCATGTTTACCTTATTCACGTAGTGAGCGTTGGCTGTACTTCTCCTTTTAATTGGGCTGACACAAAATTGGACAAGTTACAATTCCAATTGTGTGCTTGAAAACAGTACGTTTTAACATATCCCTAATTTTTTCCCCCCAGTCACAAAAACCGCTCGTGGTTATCAATATGCTGTGCAATCACAAGTGAATGTTGTCGTTTTATAACAAAGTGGACATGTCAAAGCACTGCTCTGACTCCGATTGAAGCAGTCTCTCATGACTCTCTTGGTTTCACTTTTTGTTTCATTTGACTAGAGGACAACATAATTACTTTTAAGAACTGCCTTATTACTGCTTGCATTTGCAATTCATTTATGAACTGTTGGATATCTTTAAGGTTAAGCTGAATTAATCGAATCTTTTTTTTTTTTTCATGTTAATATTGCCAATCAGTGGATGAGAAACATTCCAATGACGCCAGCAGCATGCTTCCACAGAACATTTTGTCTCAGACAAGCCGACACAATGACAGAGACTACAGACTGCCGAGAACAGAGACTCACAGCAGTGCAGCCCCAGTGCAGCACTCTATTAAACCTGTGGTACACCCGTCTGCTGCCACAAGCAGTGTTCATTCTAGTACTTTTACAGTACAGCCTGATCACCCTCCTCCAAAGAAGTCATTTGATGCAAATGGAGCAGCAACGTTGTCAAAACTGCCTATCCCCACATCTTCCATCCCAACACAGAAATCTGACAGAAAAGGTGAGTTGGAAATTTATAGGCAGTGAAGGTGGCCTTTTACTTTGCATGGTATGTTTAGGTTCTTTTTTTTTTTTTTTTTTTATTAATTTTTTTTTTTAAGCTGTTTGTTCCCAGTTCTTCTGATAGGGGTATAACCCTGACTAAAGCCATCTCCTTGTGTTGCTGTAAACTTCTAGTATTGGCAGTGTCTCTTGAGCCTAATATGTCATTGTTTAAGGCCATTCATACATGTTTACTGGATAAGCAAACCCTGCCTGTATTTCCATGGCGCTGGCCAGACCAAAGCATTGTCACATAGGGAATGTGCCTATGCTTGCAGAAGAGTATAGTTTTATAATCAATTTGTGGAGGTCCGTGTTTGCTGTGAATGGACAAAAGCTAACGTGAGTTCTGCTTATCCTTGTTTTTTTTTTTTTATATGCAAATGTAATTTCCAGCACTTTAGACGACTCTTAAAATACATCAAATTCTAAACCCCATAAATTTCAGCAAAAGTTGCAGAGGACTTTCCCACAACTTTTGCAGAAACATAAGGTTTAGAATTTGAAGCTGACCTCAAGTACCCTTACACTAGGGCTCTCCACCACCCTGTTACTGTCTAGGTAAAATGCTGAAACACCTGTATCCAGGATCGGATTCCTGTAATAGGTGCCCAGCTTGACTAGATCTACTTATAAGGGAATCCATCAAGATACAAACCTTTTATGTGCAGCTTAACAGCTAAAGTGGAGCTTTTAGTAACTGTACAGGAATATTTTACTTTTTTTTTTTTTTCTAGGAATATGTAGCTTACTTTTGTAATCTATTGTGAGAGCTGAAGGAAAAATAAACAGTTTGCTGCAAGTAGGAGGAAGCATTTCCCCAGTCTCGTCCACTCCAGTGATGATAAACATTGTTTGAAACATTGTAACTTTGCTGCAATTCAAAGTGAGAGGCTTCAGCAGGGGGCTGAATTGTCAGATGGTTTTTAATACAGATAAGAACTGTAGCGGTACCAGGATTTACATAACCGTAATCTTGGAGTCAACAACAGTCCAGGATGTAGATGATCCTGGATGATACCTGAACAAAGATGGCACTGACCTTTTGGAAAGAATAGTTGATGGTTTTTTCGGGGTAGAAATATGATTGATGATTACCTATGTTACCTCTCCTACTGTCTTAAGGAACTGAACACTACTGTGATGAAGGGGAATTACCAACTGTTGTGCTTTGTGATTCCTCCTGCCAACCTCTACTTCTCTACTGAACACACAGGAGATACTCTCTCTAAAGCGTCAATTTCTAAAGAGACTTCAGAGGTTGATTTATCATAAGAATAGTGTTTGAAAGTAGGAGAGGTATTTACTTATTTCAAGAAAAGCTTTTTGTTATAGGTTTTTAGTTTGCATATCCACTTTGCTACTTGCCACCTGCCCAAAGTAGTTATAATGCAGGCTAGCAGCACATCCCTGCCGGACTACGTACCTGCACCTTCCGGGTTTACAGGCGTGCATGTAGTTTGAAGCATTGCAACTTTATCAGCAGGTCCCGGCCAGTGATTCATGGGTGGGATGTGCTCATCAGCGGTGTCTGATCACCACACAGAACCCCTTGTATACAAACACAGGGCTCTGTACACTTATCAGTGATTTGACTTTATTTTCCCTGCAAAGTAGGGAGAAAAAACTGCCAGATAGAAAGGTAAAAGGAGCACACATTACACATTGTTGGGCACATATTTCACCCCTTGATTGCCCCTAGATGTTACCTCTTCCCAGCCAGTGTTCGTACTAGTGGTGCACCGAAATTAAATTCCGGTGCTGACACTGAAAATTCAAAATGCATGTGGCCGAAAACCAAACTGAAATGTCTGCTTATGTGGGGGTGGGGAGGCTCCAATTTTTGTTTATTTTTGGTATATATTTTTAAACGTATGATTTTATTGCTATCGCATAGGGGACCAATAGCATATGAGTGACAGGTCCTCTTTGTAGGGGGAGAGGGGGTGGGGGGCAGTGTGTGCAAGGAGGGGGCAGGAGAAGAGCAGTGTATACAGCGAGGGAGCAGGCTGTCACTATATGCCGGTGCCAATTTTTAAATGCAGTTGCCGGCTTTTTTTTATATATATATATATATATATATATATATATATATATATATATATATATATATATATATATATATATATATATATATATATATATATAGCTCACAGAATTAGCTTTCACTTTCCCCGGAGCTATAGGAAACTTTCTTTTATCTTGGCAAAGAAACTTAAAGGGAAAGGTTGTTTCTTTTAACTAGGGGAAAGAAACTAAAAAGAAACTTTGTTCCTTTTAGCTGGGGGAAAGTAACCGCTAATTCTGTGAGCTATAGTTAAGAAGAGAAAAAAGCCAGTAATTACATTTAACTAGTTGCCGACCGCAGATAGCCGAATGACGGCTGCACTGCGGCCGGCCAGTTCTGAGTGGACGTCATATGACGTCCTCCCAGAACGCGCTCTCCTGCGCACCCCAGGGGGCGCGCACCCGGCGATCTCCGTGATCGCTGTGTCCTACGGACACAGCTGATCACGTGATGTGGTAAAAGGCCAATCACAGCGGCCTTTTACCACGTGATCAGCGGTGTCCAATGACACGCTGATCAGAGGGAAATGCAAGTGCCGGTTCTCGGCTGCACTTTCCTCACGCTGTCCGATCGTGAGGAAAGTACTGCCGAGAACCGGCAGTTGTCAGAGCGGGGATCGGCACCGATCATCAGGGCACTGATGATCAGTGCCCTGATGATCGGTGCCCAGCAGTGCCACCCGCAAGTTCCGCCCACCTGTGCCCAGCAGTGCGCCCACTAGCTCCGCCCACCTGTGCCCAGATCACCCACCTGTGCCCACCCACCAGTGCCACCCACCTGTGCCACCCACCAGTGCTGCCCACCAGTGCCGCCAGTCAGTGCCACCAGTCAGTGCCCAGGGGTTGTGCCAGTCATTGCCGCCAGTCAGTGCCCAGCAGTGATGCCAGTCAGTGCCGTCTATCAGTACCCATCATCAGTGTCACCTATCAGTGCTGCATATTAGTGCCGCCTATCCGTGCCACCTCATTAGTACTGCCTATCAGTGCCCTTTAGTGCTGCCTATCAGTGCCGCCTATCAGTGCCCATCAGTGTTGCCTCATCAACGCACATCAGTGAAGGAGAAAAAATACCTGTTTGAAAAATTTTATAATAGAAACAAAGAAACTTTTTTTTTCAAATTTTTTGCACTTTTTTTTTATTTATAGCGCAAAAAGTAAAGCGCCCAGTGGTGATTAAATACCACCAAAAGAAAGCTCTATTTGTGAGAAAAAAATGATCAAAATTTCATATGGGTACAATGTTGCATGACCGCGCAATTGTCAATCAAAGTGCGGCAGCGCTGAAAGCTGAAAATTGGCCTGGTAAATAAGGGGGTATAAGTGCCTGGTAGGCAAGTGGTTAAAAACCAGCACTGACCTATAATGACAGCCAGTCACTGTATACACTGCTCCTCTCCTGCCTTTCTCGGCCCCCCCTCTCATCTGCAGCACACAGTTTCCTGTATTGGCTAAATTTTATTGGCCGATCTGTTTTGGTGCATCCCTAGTTAATAACTGTGTCAGTGTGCAGTATTATCACTGATCACTTTGTTAGTGTAACTAGTGATCTCAGTGATGCTCCCAGATAGTGTCTGTTAGTGCCAGATCACCCTGTAATAGTCACATTATAGATCGCTGTTCACCGCCATTACTGTATAGTGTCTATAACTGCGTACATTCTAGTATATATACCATAGTTTGTAGACACTTTTAACTTTTGCACAAACCAATTAATATATACCTATTGGGATTTATTTTTCCAAAGACGTATAACAGAATACATTTTGGCTTAAAATTATAAAGAATTAAAAAAAAAATTTTCTTATTTTTTTTCCAAAATTTTAGGGCTTTTTTAATTTATATCACAAAAATCCAGTGGTTATCAAAGACAACCAAAAGAAGCTCTATTTGTGTGAACAAAATGTTAAAAATTTTGTTTGCGCACAGTGTTGCATGACCATGCAATTTCCAGTTAAAAATAGTGCAGTGCTGAATAACAAATGTTTTGGTCATGAAGGGGGTAAAACTTTCCAGTGCTCAAGTGGTTAAATAATAAAACTAAATGAACAATTTAACCACTCGACCACCAGAAGGTTTTACCCCCTTTGTGAGCAGGCCATTTTTTTTGCTATCCAGCACACTGTAACTTTAATGGGCAATTGCGCGATCATACAACACTGTGTACCTAAATTAAATATAATCTTTTCACGCAAATAGAGCTTTCTTTTGGTGTTTTTTTATATTTTGCAATATAAACTAAAATATACTGAAAATTGTGAACCCCACCCCCAATTATTTTCTACTTTGTTACAAAACATTTCCAATAAAATCTAATTTCTTCATAAATTTAGGCCAAAATGTACTCTGCTACATGTCTTTGGTAAAAAAAAAAAAAAAAATCCCAATAAGTGTATATTGGCTTGTGTGAAAGTTATAGTGTCTACAAATTATGATGTTTTACTTTTGAAAATTGATCAGTCCTGACATACTGACTGCCTATCTCATTTCTTGAGTCCTTCAAAATGCCAAGCCAGAAGAAAAGATACCCCCCAAATGACCCCATTTTTGGAAATGAAGAATTGAAATAAAACTTGTGGGGTTTTTTTGCCACACATTTTTTTTTTTTTTTTTTCAAATTTAGCCACTAGTGCAGTACAGCATCGTCCTATCACTGGTGTGTGACGGTGTTCAGGGATACTGAGTAGTGACCATGTGTTTAACCGCCTCCCGCCCACCATATAGTACAATGACGGGCACAAGACGGTTCTCTCGTTCATATGACCTCCTCCCATTCTAACTGCGCATGCGCGGCTCCGGGAGCACGCAGCGCGGCGATCAGTGGTGCGCGGTGTCCCTCGGACACCGCGCATCACCGATCGACTGAAAGAGCCGAAGATGTCGGATCGGTCATGT